CGTACGTACGTACGAGAGACGTACGACCGACCGTACCGTACGTACGTCGCGACGCCGGCCGACCGTACCGTACCCGTACCTACGTCGTTCGTTACTACTACTCTCTCTCTCTCTCTCTCTCTCTCTCTCTCTCTCTCTCTACACAACAGCAGCACTGGCATTATAACATAGGAACCCCTTGAAAGCACTACTTTTTCTTTGAGTGGTGGCTGGTTAGAACACCTTTTCTCTATCACCATGGAGTAGAAGAACTCAAGAGTCCTCCATTTCAGAAGAGAAAGCACTCTATGATTCAGGAGCCTATATTAAGCCTAACCAATTGTAGCACGCCATGTACTTATTCCCTTAGACAAATGACCTACTTAAGGGGAGCTTTTTGACATGAAATTTTGCACCAGATGAGTATTTTCAGGAAAAGAAATTTGACGCTTGAGTTCTTAATATTTGTTTAGCCTTAGCGCGTTACTTTTTATGCGCACATGGGATGCAGCCAAAAGATATCCTACTCCCGCAGGAGTATACTATTCATTTATTTCTTGAGGCAAAACAAATAAATTATTTTGGAACTTTGAATTTGGTCATGCTCATAATCACCCAATTTGAAATGGACAAAAATGATTGGTCACCGTGTTGAAGAGGTTATATCCGCATACAATAATTGGTCACCATGTCGAAGAGGGTGGCACAAATAAACTTACAAAACCTTTCAGACTGGTTTTACTCGGGAGGTGAATGTATGATATGTACCACATCCCGTAGGGGATCTAACCTCTCCCTACGTATCAGAACAAGGTAGTGTCCTAAGTTTAAGCTGATCCCCTCTCCCTATGTATCAGAAAAAGGTAATGTCCCAAGTTTAATCTTAGACCATTCCATTATTGAATGGTCGGATCTAAGCTATTTAACAATCTAGATTAGCTGGGTGAACTGTACTTCTAGAAATCTGGTTCAAATCAACAAATCCGATCAATTCTCTTGTGTGAGAATTGGTCCATAATAGTGTTTCAAACCAAGACAAATAGGGGTGGATCATTCACCCCACATATTTGTGCCGGACCTCGGGATGGACATTATGGAAAAACCCGACTAGGTGATCCAAAAAGAAATACTAAAAATAAAAATTAGGGTTTTTGGAGCTGGGGATTTAGGGAAAACCAAAAAACATTAGCTAAGATTAAAAAATAAATAAAGGGGGTTTTAGGGAAAATTAGGGGAAACCCAAAAAACATTAGCTAAGATTAATAAATAAATAAATGAAGGGGGTTTTAGGGGCAATTAAGGGAAACCAAAAAAACATTAGCTAAGATTAAAAAATAAATAAATGAAAGGGGTTTTAGGGGCAATCAGGTTAAAACCGATACCATCCATAACACATTTGGTCCTGGGCGACTCCTCATCCAAACAAGGAATCGCTACAGGTTCATAAAATAAAAAATAAAAAGTTGAAAAAGTTAAAAAAACCTATGGGAACTAGGCAATCTGTCTAACCCAGATCATGCATTTCCTAAACAGAATCACCTAGATCGTAGCTGAAAAAATAAGCAATCCTACAAGAATTGGACTAATTCCTGGATCCAACAAGGAAGATGGTCCGTCTGGACCGATTTTCAATCTAGATCGATGATTTCCAATCCAAACCATGGGATTTTAAAACAATGCACCTAAGTATTTAGAAAATCATTTTTTATTTTTTAGCCTAAAGTGGATTCTAGAGTTTCAAATGGCGGAAGTCTTCTTGTGGAAGTCATTTATCACATGGAGTACATGTACGTCCTGCTCCGATAGGACTACTTTAGACTAATGTAGTAAAAATTGAATCGGAATGATTAACCAGATATGGGGCCGGAAGTGGTTCAACTAGCCAAATCGGTAAACGAACTGAGTCAACCGGTCTAACCAAGCAAATATCAAGGAGTAAAAAAGTGTTAAAAAAGTAATAAATACAAAAAAATCTAACAAAATATGAAAAATATATTTAAATAATGATTAAACAAAGCACATCCAAAATGAAATTAAAAATTGATCATGAAAATGAATTTAAAAAAATCAATTTGTAATAAAAGGTATTTTTTAAAGTTTTCAAATAAAAAATATAAAAATAAGTATTAATGATCGAATCAATTGTCAATCTTTTTCAAAATGATAAAAATTATTAAAAAATACGTTACAAATAAAATCCCGCCCGATTTTTCCTGCACTCCTATTGACGCACCCCATCTTAGAAACCAGTACACAGGGATGGTAGCAGGGTTATGTTTATGGAGGGAAAGACGAGATTGGCTATTTGGAAATATTCTGTAGAACAAAGGGCATTGTCATGGCCATCCAAGAAACACTCCCCTTGCTGATTTGGTATGATTTGTGGGGCCCACCCGACACAGTCACTGGAAGTCTGGCAGCGTCTAAGCGGTGGGTCCCACTCCCACCCTTTTTCTTAGGCCTGCGGCGCTCTTTGTAGCCCGCTCCTCGTCTTTTCTTAATATGATTTACGAAGATGGATGGGCATGACTATAAAGCCCTTTCCTTTTCACGGAATTGCTTAAATATCCAAACAAGTATCTTTTACGGAGGACAAAGGTACCCTCACGTGGCCGCAGTATTCTCTCCATTTTGGGGGCTTTGTAGGTGTGCTTTCCATGAACTTTATTTTATTATTTGTTTCATTACTAACAAAGAAAGGCCGAAGAAGTTTATTTAGTGTCTGACATTGGTGTTGGCTACATTTAACAAGAAGTAAAAAAAACAAAAGATTAAGATAGTCTAGCAATTTTGTGTCGGACTGGTCAAATTGGGGGACGGGAATTCTTGGTCTTCCAAATCCAGAATTCCCAACCTCTCAATTAAATAAGGTGCTATAGGCAATTTTTGAATCATTAAGAAAATATTTAATTTTTTTTATATTTTTGTATTACTCTCTCCTCCTCTCTCCTCTCTTATTTCACTTAATCACTCGGGCCTTGATTTCCACAATGTATTTCTCCCACGCCCTTTAATTGGATGCAAGGGCAAAACAATCATTTATAGTTTTGAATGCCCCTGAAGTTCGCTCTTCTTTTCAAAAAAAAAAGCCAGGGATCTTAAGGTCATATTATCCAATGAATGGATAAAGAGTACTTTACATAAGGGCAAAAGGCGTTCTCAGAGCACGGGGCCGTGTTCTTCTTCTTCGTCCTCTACTGTGAAGAAAACTGGTTCTCTCTAAAATCCGATTCTCTCTCTCTATAATCCGATTCTCTGTCTGTCTTACTTCTTCGTTACTTCTTGTTTACTCCCTCTTTCTCTCTCTTTAAGTCTCTATCTCAATCTCTCAGGCTTCCTTTCTTTTCTTTTAGTGTACGCTTGAATTGTGTGCGAAATTAGGCTTCGTTTCACAATCCTCAGCAGTTACTGGCTTTCAAAGTTTCTACATTCTTCTGTTTTCTCTCAAGAGAGTGTCTGGTAAGTTTCGTCTTTCTCTCTCTAAAGTTTGGGGCTTTTTCTCTCGCTTAACTTTTCATTCATGGCTTTAGACCTTGATTTAAGGTCTAAAATGAGGGCGGACAGGAATGTTCATAGATAGCATGACTCCATTATCAAAAAATGGGCACGCCCTAAGGATTTCTTATGATTTTTGGTTAAGTACCTCGATCGAGCTGCAATTTTCCTTCTAAAAGAATTGCATTTTCTGGATATAATTTTAGACTGTAAATGGATTAACTTGCAATTTTCCTTCTAAAAGAATTGCATTTTCTGGATATAATTTTAGACTGTAAATGGATTAACTTGCATTTTTTATACAATTAGATAGTTTGAGTTTTAAATGATTGGCAAGTTTATTAGATCTAGCTCTTATGGTTGCTGAATTTTGGCATTTCAATTTTCAATTGCTGCTTTTTTTTTTCTTATCTTCATGAAGGAATGTTGCTGTAAATTATCTTTGAAGTTTAAATTTGATAGTTTGGCTTCTTGCTCTTTTTTCTTCTGATTGATTTGAATCCTTATTTTCCTTCTTCTTCTTTTGATGGAGTTATAATAGGATAATGCCTGCTTCCTTGATACATATTTTGCTTGAAAATATACTTAACTAGATATGCCAGAGTTTCAACATGCACACTGTTTAAATTCATTGGTAAATACTAATTGCAGCATTTTTTCTGGAATTTTTATTGAAGTTAATTGCACATTCATACCTGAAAATTAGTCCTTGTGATGCTTCATTTGTCATTATTACTGGTATTGCTATGAATTGGTGACTTTCTGTAGCCTTTATTAGCACTACTTTGTTTCCTTTTGAGTTATAGTTTAGCATTTAGCATTGGATAAATGCTCCTTAATTGTATTTTCACCTTGTCAATTTATTGAAACTACTAAATTTCCTATAATTACCTGTATTTATCTGTCAATAATTATCAATATTTACTGATGTGAACTATTTCTTGAGTTTTCTCTCAAAATATCTATGTATATAGCCGTGATCCAAAACTCGGCCAAGTCTGAGTGGACGGCCCCTTGCCGAGCTGTGTAGTTGGGCAAAACTCAGGATAATTAAAAAAATAAATCATAAAAAATCAATGTATGAATATTTATATGTAATTTGGATGCTTATTATTATGATTTGTAAGATTTTCTTTTCGTTTGCCCTATTTTTATATTTTCTCTTTTTTTTGGATTTTTATGAAATGTCTTCAGTTATAAATCAATTTTTCTAAATCTATGTTTTATAATTTTTTTTCCATCTTAATTGGACTTTTTATGTTCTTTTGATTTATTATTACTATTTTTATTTTATTTTTAACAAACGTTTTCTATGTTTTTATGGCTTTTTTGGCCATGTACACTACTTGTGCAAGTCCACCTGGACTCACACGAGTTACTTAGCTCTGGCAAGACCCAAGTCCAGCACCCAAGCCGAGGTTGTGAACCTCGGTATGCAGTTTAATCTAGTTTTGTTGAAATATTGTGGTAAAATTTTAGAGCAATTGTATTCCTCTAAATTTTTTTAGAGAAATTGGATTTGAATTTCATTTTTTCAGAATTATTTTGGAAGCAGGCTCGAGAGCTTCCTCCTTCAAATTAAACTTGCTCGACTCAGCAATTGGAATGTTTAAACACTACATTCATATTATTTTCCTTGTTCTTTTTTTTTGGAGGTCGGGGCTGGGGGATGAGATGGTGATCTGGATTGGTCTTTATACCAAGGACATGAGCAATGGCCACTCACCCAAACCTAACAAAATGGAATGTACAGCGTATGCAGCATTGGGGTGTCGTATTCTATAGTCCATTGGACTATGATATACTTAACAAAAAAGTTATTTCGGTGTAGGCAATTTTTTCCAACTTCTAATTCAATTGTTAACTTTTGGTTTTGATTTATTCTTCAGCTGTATGACGATATATGCAAGAATAGATGTGAGCAGAGGATGTGAAAGCCAGAAAGAAGTGCATATGTCTTAGACAAGCATAAATTTTTCAGAATCATGCATCAAAATCCAAAGAAATTGGGACCCATAAATAGAAGGAACCTTGACAATCCTATCAATGGACTCTAGGGATATGCCATCTGAGATAAAAGCAGACCATGTTAATATGGATCATTTAGAGAGTGAAAGAGTAGGATTTCATGTTGGAGGGAGGAAAAGTCCAATCTATCACCCCCCTAAATCATCAACCAAAACTCAAACAAGATCCCCGAGAGGAAGGAGAAGTTCAAGGTTGATAGATAAGTGTGGCACCTCAGATCCCAATATACATGGTAAGAGAGAGGGTTCAATTCCATCTAAATCATCAGAAAAGCACAAGAACCACAGAGAGAGACGTGATGCAAAGGCCAATGAGGCCGAAGAGATAGTCAAATATATGTCTAATCTCCCATGCTATCTTCAGTGCAAGGAAGGTGGAAGCAGCTTGCAGGAGAAGGCTTTAAACTTTGGAGTTCTTGACTGGAAACGTCTCGAAAATTGGAAAGAGACCCAAAAACAGGGGCCTGGTCAAAGAAACGTTGATACTATATCCTTTAAAACGGTTAACACGTCTACCCAACCTCACGAAAGTGGCAAAAGCTCACTTGCAAGGAAAAGGAGAGCGTCAATTGATTCTTCAAATTCACTTCATACCCTTTTATCTGCTATTAGGGCCCAAAGTCTGAGCTCAGATCAGAACACATCTAACCAAAATGTAGCTCATCATGGTTCGGTTAGTTCAGAACAAATGTCAAATATAAATTCCCAGAACCAGGAAAGAGACCAAGCCATTAGCAGTAAAAACATAGAGCATAGTTCTCAAAAGGAGGAAACATTAGAGACTGAAGATTCAAAGCAAGATACCATTGTAAGCAATGCTGTGGAAAGGGATTCTTTGCTCTCAGATGTTCAATGTAGCAGTGGATCAAATTCTAGAGAGATGAAAGGTAGCAATGGATCAAATTGTAAAGAGAGAGAAGTGAAGACTCTTGGCAGTCCATCACACGACTATGAAACGAGTGATCAGTTGAGTGCAAGGCCCAAAAGCTTTAGTTTTAGAGAAGGACTAGGCTTCCGATATTTGAATCCAAGATCTGAAACCCAAAATCAAGCAACAGCTAGACCAGAAGAACCAAATGGTGGAGATAGTTTGCCTGTGGATAAAGAGAAAACATGCTCAAAAACTCGATTCAGTTCTTTCACGAGAATGATAGAGCCATTAGTAAAGTCGAGCAATATTTCTAAGGACAGAACAAAGCCTAAAAATCTTCACAGTTCATTCTTTACAGAATGTAAAGCAGCTGAACAGCCTTCAACCGTGAGATCGAAATCTTGTAACCAAAAAACCATGAAAAAGGGATTTCGTCTCTCTAAAAGCCTTTCTACCAATGATTTCAAAGGGTCCTGGCAGAGTGAGAAGAACACCTCTGACTTGATGGTACACGCTTTTCTTCAATGCCTGTACCAAAATGGCATGCCCTTCTATACATTTTCCTTGAATGGTGACAGAAGTTTTCTTGCATCAGTTGGAAGGAAAATCCTTACTTCTGAAAAGGATTCCTGTGACTGGTTATACACCTTCCATTCTTTCACTGACATCAAGAAGAGGAACAGTGGAGTATGGATTAACCAGGGGAAAAAGCAAAACAATCATGTCCAAGCCTCTAACATGGTGGGTCAAATGGAGGTTTCCTGTTTCTTGCAATCACGTAACCATGCTCATGGATCTCTCAATCATTTTGTTGTGAGGGAGTTTGTTTTATACAGCACTAGTTTTGAATACACAAAACTGGGAAATCCGGTTGGTAAGACGTCTAGCAAGACGGATTCTTCTGATTTCTTGGAGACCCATTATCAGTTTCATCCTTATAGTGAACTTGCAGCCATGGTTATTAAGGTCCCATTGGAGGAGAGAGAAATCCTCAGGAGTGAAAATAAGGCCGTAGTTGATGAGAGAGATTGTGAACTAGAGAGAGAGAAACAACCTGTATCAAGTATTGAAGTCATACTTCCAAGTGATGCGCATGGTATACCAAATGAAGAGGAAAGTAATAAGCCCTCGTCTCTGATTGAACGGTGGAGAACGGGTGGATCATGTGATTGTGGAGGTTGGGACATGGGGTGCTCTCTTACTATTTTGTGTGAACAACATCCTCATAGTGAGGATGTAACCTCCATCCAGGGGAGCCATGGTTCAGATACAGGTTTTCCAGTTGATCTTTTCATACGGGTATGCCTTTTATGTGAATTATTTGTTTCTTTTCTTTTTTCCTTATGTTTTTTCCTCAACTATTTCTTATCAGTTGTGTTCATCTCTCCCTCTATCTCTTTCTCTCCCCGTAAAAACAATTGAACTCACATCCTAATTTCTGTTACATCTATCTAGGGCTCTCAAGGAAATAGACCAGCGATAAGCATGGGAGCCATTCGCAATGGACTATACATGATTGATTACGACAAATTCCTTACCCCATTGCAGGTTTTCTCCATTTGTGTAGCCCTCCTGCATTGTAGAAAACCTGCCTGTTTCTCCGAAAATTGGGGCCCTCATAAAGAGAAGGCTCTACCTGAATCCTCACCATATTTAAAGGAATACATAGCCATGGACACCCAAAAAGATCAGAGAGAAATCCACTTAAGCTACATTCCTGATCCCCCTCTCTCTCCTGTTGGGAGGGTCTAATAGCAGACCAGAGCCTACCTGCCCATGAACAGGTAAGCAAGAGTCCTATGATTGGATCTCTGAGGTCTGCTTTTGAATTTGCAGTATAGAATTACCTTTTTGTATTCTTTTTTTATTTTCTTTTTTGATAAAAATTACCTTTTTCTATTCTTTTTTTTTTGCTTTTTTGATAAATGGGTAATAATATATGGATATAGTTACCTTTGTAAAGTGAAATAAGCCTTTGTATTGATACTATATCTTGTTGCATCTCAAAGAGGTCAAAGAAAGCTCTATATGTTTTACCCATCTGAATTCAGATCATAGGTGTGTTAGAAAAGGAAGAAGATGAGATAGGCCACCCAGCCTTTGGAGTAGTATAAGCTGCATGGCCTAGTTTTATTTTAGGAAAGTAGTTTGATAGAGCTGCAGCCGTATCAAAATCAGCAAATCCTCACCTCATCACTCATCGAAAATTGCAAGTCACGCATTCGAAAACCTTTGTATTGATCATCTCGATTTGAACATTATGGTTGTGAAAAAAAATTAGGATTTGAATCTCTAAACATAGTGTATATTGTAACAAATTATCTACATCCATCTTGTTTTAAATATAAGTGTTTGTAGATCTGCAAGATTTGTACCAATTTTTTAGTTTAAAATTTATTGTTGATGTTAAAATTCGATTTTAGAGATTTCAGTAGCCGAAAGTACTTTTCGGATGAAGATTTGAGGTGAGGCTTTATTTTATTTTCATCGAACTTTGGACTTACAGAAACGTCATCCTTTATTTTATTTTCACAATCTGGGCAGTTGGCATCGCATATGAATACTTTACTGTCAATTTTCAAGATTTTCAATTTTTCATAGATCTATTCGATCTACATTATTTTTGAAGCTTTAAATTCTATAATTAGATATAAAAATATATTTTAAGGCTATCATAATGATTTCTAGTATTGAAACTATGTTTCTCGACACTAATTGAAGGTGTGCTCTACTTTTCATTTAGAGCCTAGGCTCTATACAAATGATGTGATTCATTTCATATTGTGATACGGAACAAAAATCAATCGTAAGTGTCCCAATATATTGTCATTTATGCAAAGATTTGTAAAATAGTGAAAAAACGAGAAATAGACCCATACAAAACAATATGCTAAAGAAAAAGCTCTAACACAAGGAACATGCACAAATAAGAATAAATCAACTATTATATTTATAGTGGTATTAACAAATAAGAATAAATTAACTATTATATTTATAGTGTTATTCTCTTTCTTATTTTGAAATAAAAAACTTTCGTATGGCAAAGCCGTCCTGTTGCATATCATTCATTCAATGAGACGACTCTCCCAAATCATGTTAATATCAATCGATTGATTGTCTACTCCTTACGTATACTCTTCAGTTACTTGTCACAGAAATAAATAAAGATATTGCAGTCCATTGTTGCATCCAGTGTTATAAAAAATAGCCAACGCGGATCGGAATAAGTCATGAACACTGTCGTTTCCCTTGCAAAATCGGAAATGGGCTCGAATCTCCTTAGTTTTTATCATCCCTAATATGAATTTAAAAAAATAGATCTAACTCAAACGTTCACCTTTGGTCCTACACAAATTTTTTTCTTTTTTTTTTCAACTTTTGTTTTTTCTTTTTTTTTCTTGATTCTGTTGGATCGTCAATTAGGCCTATCCAAACCAGTTCCACTTGGGGCCACTTTCAAGGGTTGAACCAATTTTTAAAACCGCATCTTATATATATAAATTAGATGATATGAAATTTGGAGTGTGTGTGCATCTTAGTGAAGCACATCTAATAAAAATATGAAAAAAATATTTTACAAAATATAAATTGATCAAAATACCCCCGTAAATTATTAGGGGTATGTTGATTAATTTATATGTTATGAATTATTATTTTTATTAGACTCTCCTATTTTTGATAAACACACGCTCCAAATTTCAAATCATTCCGATTTGTAGAAAAAAAAATGAAAAATGAAACATTACCGGACAACTGTAACCGTGCGATGAACTTTGGACGGTGATGAGTATAGACAATATCACTATTTATTTTCACCTATGGGCGTTGAGAATAATTTCCATATATATGAAAATTATTCCCAACGCCCATAGGCGAAAATTAACAGTGATTTTACCTACTCTCATCACCGTTCAAAGTTCATCGCACAATCATAATTGTCCGGTAGTGTTTTATTTTTCATTTGTTTTCTACAAATCCGAATGATTTGAAATTTGGAGCATGTGTACATGTTAGTAAGGCACACCTAATAAAAATATATAAAAAAAAAGTTCTTGAAATAAAATTGACCAAAATACCCTTGAAATATTTCAAATGTATTTTGGTCAATTTATTTCATATAAAATATTTTTTTGATATTTTTATTAGATTTGTCTATTTTTTATGAGCATATATTTCAAATTTCAAATCATTCTAATTTGTAAAAAAAAAAAATGAAAATAAAACACTATCTAAAAATTGTAACCGTGCGATGAACTTTGGCTGGTGATGACGGTAGGCGAAATCACTGTTCATTTTTTCCTTTAGCCATTTTGTAGTATCTTCCATATACATATATATATGAACAATGATTTCATGCAACTGTTGTATAATAATATGATGCAACAACCTTAAAAAACCATCTTATGGCCATTTGTTTGATCCAAAGTTTGAAATATACACTCTTTTTATTCTAATGAACAAACATAAAAAAAAAGAAAAAATTGAAAACACATCCTAGAAAGTATTTTTTTAACTCAATTAACATAGACCATTCATTTTGGTGAGATGCTTAGATCTAGGCTTTAGAAGGATTTTTTCATTTCTAAATTTTTGGATGGCTTTATTATCATTAGATGAACAATGTTAAAAAAGGAAAAAATGATTTTGAATTTATAAAGGCTAAGATCTTTAAATTCACAAA